GCTTCTCTACGAATTTGCTCCAACTTTTGGCCCGATTTTGACCTTGATTCAGATCGAATCTGTCAAAACCCAGAACATGAAAGTTGTGGAGTTCTATCTTATCTTTCCGGTTCATCTTGAATCATCCCAATCGGAGTCCGGGTTTGAGAGTTATGCCTAGATTACTGAATGGTGCCGAAATTGTGCAAAATCGTTCGATTAGCCTTGTTTTCCTCCTGCCACCTTCTTGCTTGCCCTGAATCGAAATACAAGAGTAATGAGTGCAATTAAGTGCAAATTTAATGTAAAAGAATGAATATTTGGGGATAAAAATATGATATTTTTTATTACCATCAGGGACAAGTCGGATTGTGTCAGGTCAGCCTAAACCGACTATCCTAACCTGAATTTCAACCTAGGGAAGACTAGCAGGTCACTCCTCAGGTCACACCTCGATGCCACATGGGGACAGGTCGGATTGTGTCAAGTCAGCCTAAATCGACTAACCTAACCTGAATTTCAACCTAGGGAAGACCGGTAGGTCACCCCTCAAGGGATAGGTCGACTTGCATCCAGTTAGCACACCTATCGGTTTTGAAATCGATGGTGACATATTGCCCACCTGGCAGGGATGATCCTGATCCCTGAAGGATTCAGAGAGATCGGATGAGGATCATTGCTAGAACCTGTGTGGCATGCTCCGAGGATAATGGGCTGATAAGGCCTATTACTCTCGGATATCTTGGACAAAACTCTTGAACCCTGAGGCCTATAAATAGGCACCTTTGTACCTTCACAAGGTACGCACGATTAAATGCAATCAAACCTCTTGCTCTCACTCTCCTTTGCTTCCTACTTCCTAAGAAACTCTTATCAGCTCGGGTAACTTAAGCATCGGAATGCTCGCCCTATATCCAAATCCCCAGGTACTCTACCAATCGTCTGATCCGTCCTCTAATAGGGAAGTCGAGTGATTCGCACTTCATCACTTATTATTCCCACCATTTGCATCAATTTCCTCAAATTCCATATTTCACTCCGAAAATAGTATTAGAACTTACCTTTTAAAATACAATAACCTTCACTAGGTATCTGGTGAAGGCCATTTGTAACATGCTATAAACCAAACTAGGGGTCCATACATATATTGGACCCACACTAATAAGTACAGAATGCTGGCATATTCGTTCATGATTGGTTACATAACACTTTACACACAACCTGACAAACAATAAATGCGGGTTGACAAACTTCAAAACCATCCTTTCAGTCTTTTCTAGCCGTGCACTAAGAATATCTCCATACTTGTATGTTCTTTATTCATGGCCTACTTGACCAGGGTTCAAATCTTTGTATGTTTACGGGCAAGGTTTGTGAACCCATCCCTCCCCAAACCCGCATTGGTGGGAGCCTCCTGCATTGGACTAAACTATATAAGTGATACAAAACAAAAAAAAAAGATCAATATTTTCAATTATTTAATTAATACACACAAAAATACATAAACTATAAATTATTCCTCACATGAAATCCAAAACATTATATATATATATATGCCTTACAACAACGATATAACTATAAGCACTAAGGGTATTCTAATAAATTCAATACATGGGTTGAGGATGATCGGGTTTCGTCTATATTGTATCTTACTTGTAAAATCCCAAAAGCCGTCCTTGCCCCAAAATCCATTTTTCAAGCAAAAAACCTGCCCTGAAGGGCAAATACCCTCACCATCTAGAGTGGAAATTACGCCAAACAATTAAAAACATCCATGGAAAAGGAGTCAAAAAAATAATACAAAGTATAATTAAGTATCACTTTTTCTTTGGTGCATGAAACGAAAAATTTTCTCTTCCCATAATAAAAATCATGATGTTTGCCACAAAACACCAACTTTTCAAACATATTTAAGAGAGAGTTGGGCCTAAAATAAAAGGTTTTAGTTGTACGAGTTATGTAGGACATGTAGGGATCGTTGGTGGGTTTTGTGGGGTGATATGAAAGGAGATTTAGGTGATTAATGATGAAGAATAGAAGTAGAGAAGCAAGTAGGCTTCTTACTTCCACCAAACAATGAATAAGATTTTAGAAAGAAAAGGAACTGTTGCCCTTTGAGTAAACAACAAGGTGGTAGATCACTTAAAGACAAAGAAATAAGTAAGAGAGGAAGAAAAAAAATGAGAAAAATTCAATTCAACAACCAAATTTAACTAAACAATACTTTCATAAAATTAATTCTCCGAAATTGCAATTACAATGAATCTGTTTAAAGACTCACCACCACAACTCATAAACTAATTTGGACTACAAAGTTGAGTCAATTCAACTTTAACCGCTTTAGGGCTAAGACAAACCCAAAGGAAATCTATGGACTCCAATTCCTAAAACAACTTCATAACTCATTTTAACAGTCCTAATAAAAACTAACTTAATTTAGAGAAACTAGAAAAGTAGAAATGACTAAGAATAGTAAATCACAATTTTGCTACAAATAGGAATTTCAACTTATTAATAACAGTAATTTCTAGAAAACAGAAAACCCTATTCTTGAGGCTTTTTTAAAAGAGAATCAAAACAAGCACATGCTGACATGCTGTTGCATCAAGTAGTAAAAGAACACACCCAAAAGTGCTTCTTTAGAAGAGACTCATAACTTGATATGAAAGAAGAAAGCAGAGACTGATACAGATGTTTAAATAGTTGTCCATGAAAGTATAATGAACTTCTGAACACTTTGACAGAAACCCATAAATAATAAAATAAAGCTGTTTTATTAGATGGATTAACTATAAAAAGTAGGCAGGAGAGAGGAGAAAGAAGAAGAACAGATTTTTACATCCATAAAAGCATATATCAAACATATCTATAGCTGACTCTTACCTGAGAAGAAAAATCATATTGGAGAGATAGATCTACTGTTGAAGTGTTAAATTAAGGAAGAGTGGTTGGAAAGAAGAACTAGATGGACTATAAAACATTATTCAAAGCTAAAAAAATAGTTTTTCAATAACGAAGGAAACAGAAATAAGAACATTTTGCATACCTCTTTAGCAGGTCTCTGCAAGTGATAGCTGCTCAAGCTGCAGAATGAGTTGGAGGTGTTTCAGTTTCACCTTTTCACCCCGATCAAAAAAAATATATATATCTTAATTTTAATTGACGAGTAAGTTCTTTTTTTTTTTTTTTTGATCAAATTACTAATGGATTGGAATGATAATATCCAATCTGATGACTCTGATCCAATAAAAAAAAAATCAAATCTGCTATCTGTCATCCAATCTGGACTGATTAGATGTAATAGATATCCGCATCCATTCTAATTGGATTGGGTTCAGATTTAAATCCAATAATCCATTGATAACCCCACACCTAAGGAGGTCTCTCTGAAGCTGTGTGACATTATGCCTTTGTCATCTTTGCTTCCGGCATCCAACCTTTTCATTGTCAATCTATTAATCTTTATCATATTCAAGTTGATTTTTGAACCTTGTTTCTTTTGATTAGGAATGATGCTTCTTCATTGATTTGCATTGGCTTCTGACCTCAGAGAAGCATAGACGTCTATGTAATGGGATGCTTGTGGCCTGTACTACCAATATTTCATTGTCAATCTGTATGTAATGGTCTTCTTATAGGACTTGCTTATGGAGAAGAAAACAGGTTACTATTGGTTGATCCAGATCTCTTATCCTCTTCTTGATTATTTCCTTGTTCTTTGTTTCTCTTTTTAACACAGATCACAAAATACAGCAGTTCCCAACTATCATTACCTGTATATCTGACAGCTACAGAGACCAACCTTCCAAACACAAGCTAAATTCTATACTAAACCATAGATATGCCAAAATGAAACTGTATACAGAGGTCACCTTCCCTTGGCCTATAATATCCCTGTCTTCCTCCATGATTGGATGAAGGCATGTGGGACAAGCAGATGAACTGATTTGTTATAAGTAATCTGTTAATCAATTCCATGGGTCCAAGGGGCCTCTCCAAATTAAACTTGATTGGATAATGCCAAGCACCATACAATCAGAGTCGGTAAGAAGCAAGATGAAATTATTTAGTCATGAAAACATGCAAAAATGGCTCCTACGTATATTTCTTTAACTCATCTAGATTTCAAGTTTTTGAACTAGTTCTCCATTAGGTTCACCTGGGGTATGAGAAAAGCAATCATAAAATCCTGAACTGACTCCATCTTATATATACAGATATTAACAATTCATTCATTAAATTCTCTAACCACAATTGAATTGTTGAAATTAATTTGCAGATCATTTGCTGCAATCTACCATTACCCCGTGAATTTAGGGTTGAAATTTAGCGTTGAAGAATGCTTCTATTCTGGCTGGCTATACTAGTTTGCTGCAGACCAACTGATTTGTCCATAAGTCTGAAACACTGAGTGTGTTATGTGGGTTAGGTCTGTTTAAGATTCAATTATAGTGCTTTACATTTTTGGGATTGTTTGAAGTTCAGTGCTGTCTTCCAGAAAATTTATTGGCAGTTCTAAGGAGTTGGCAGCTGAAAGGTCTTTCTAAAGAAGGCAAGGCTATTTGGGGAGTAGGACCAGCTTTAGTGGTTTGGACAATTTGGACGGAAAGGAACAAACTACTGTTTGAAAACAAGTTCATAACAGAAGAAAGTTTACTGAAAGGATTTTGCAGTAGGTTGTATTCTTGGGTAGGAAGCACACAGATTGTTCAGGAATAGGCCTTATAGCTCCTTTTTCTTTTTTGACTCTTGGAGCTCTTTTTGTATCTATGCACACAGAATATACAGATTAGAAGATGTATAGATATCTTTGGGAACTGCACAGCTCCTTCTGCGGATTTGGCTTGTTTTTTGAGTAATTCAATACTTTACCTTTTCCCTGAAAAAAAAAATATATTGCTTTACATTACCAACACAAAAGTTCAGTTGAAGCTCATCAAATGTATTCATGGATGATCTTTTTATCAACTAACAACATTAGTTTCAAAGTGATACATAATGGGAATTAGAGCAATAAAAAATTTCTCAGAAAAAAAGTGTAATTTCATTTTATGTAACAAGTATGACCTCATTTGTAAAGCACAACACAATAAAAAAAAAAAATGAATCTAATTTCATGTGTTCTACCTCCTTTCAGGCTTTTAGAAAGAAATTGAAATGAGAAATTTCTTTACAATTATCCTCCAAAATCCAGCACTGCATCCTGGAGTTGATCCATGGCAGCAATGTGCAGTCACCTGCATCATCAGCCTCATGTTCAAGAGATGCTAAACATCAGCACATCTCATGGGTGCAAAGCCCAGTCTGGACTTCTTTGTGTCATACATGATGTGGAAGTTCTGCTGCTGATAGTTCCCTATTATCGAAAGAGAAGATCGAGGCGTACCCAAGATCGCCAAACAAACAACATCTTCAGGATCAAGTCTGATGAAGTAGTTTTCAGCAGGGAAAGTCCAGACTGCTCCATCTTCAAACAGAATTGCAAAGTCAGGCAACTCTACTTTCTCCACCCCCGACACATTATAACAAGGATCCAATATAGGGAAGTCTTTTACTACAGGATAGCCCTTCACCTTCTTGACGAAAGCCTCTTTAATTATCTGATATGCAGGGTCTGCAAAATAACTAAGAGTTGTACCAGAATCAATGATAGTTCCCCCAGCGCCCTCTGCTGTCAATTGCCAAGTTTCTTGTGGAATGTTCAGCACCTCTCCTCCAACCATGATTGATTTTATCTGAACATAGTAGAATGTATCAACTGGGTTTTCTTTTCCGGCCACCAGAGAAGTGAAATTCAACCGGGGATGGCTCAGGAGACTCTTGTCTTCCCCAAAGATCAGCTTGCTGCTTACACTGATGTTACTATTCCTATCCACAAGACAGTAAGAGAAAGTGTGCCCATAGAGAGATTGGAGCTGAGAAGAGAAGGAAAGGGGGCCCCTCCCCAGTCCCAGCAATCCGGCAGCCCCATGGAAGAGGCCTCTGTTCCAGTGCCCACATCCGAACATGACATTCTCAACTTTCCGGAATTCTGATTTTCCGATTGGTGATGTCAGGTTCACTGTGAAGGTCTCCAGGGCAAAATCTCCGGTCGTGTTCGACCGATCACCGTACCAGTAGAAGTAGGGGCATGATTGGTTATCGGCCTTGCAAGGTTGTGGGGGATCAGGGGAGGAGACCAGCTGACAGCGAGGATCACGGCAGGTGACATTCCGGAAGGACGACGATTCCTGCGGATTGTATGGGGGGCCATTCTGCTCGAAGCAGTCATGGCAGGGAAGACATTGCATCCAGTTGAGATCGCTACCAGTATCAAGAATCAGAGAGAAATGCTTGGGAGGAGTACCCACAAAAACGTCCATGAAGTACTCGCCTGACCCGAGGCTGACACCGGATTCCAGAGTTGCCACAAGTCTTCCGGCTGACCCACTTGTGTCAGATTCCGGTGCCGCTGCCGGTGCAACCACAGGCTTCAGCCCTGCCGGCTTCTTCTCTGTTAACCTTGAAACCGTGTTCTGGTTCATCCTCTCTGTAATCCTTCTGTAAAGGGTCTGGATTCTGGTCAAGTCTCTGTGGGTGGATTGACGTACTGACTCCTTTTTCCCAGCTTCATCTCCATGAGTCATCGATCTGTGCTTGACGTGGAGCTTTACCGTTGGTTTACTGGATGGAGCTCCTACTATCTTATCTCCGTCGTCATCACCATCTTCTTCCTCTAGAATGGTTGCTTCTGTTGGTTTTTGCGAAGAAGTTTTCGTCTTTGTGAGACGGCACCCTGTATTTTCCGAAGCAGTGACTGAATTAAAGCTTAGGTGATGGGGGAGTTCAATACCCGCAAGAATAGAAGAACCATTGGACTTAAGTCCATGTTGGCTAGAAACGGCGACAGCGGCACTGAAACAAACGATAACCAGGATGAAGAAAATCTTGAAAAACACCATGCTCTCTTCTTCTTCGTTTACAGAGCTCCTCCTATATGAAAAGCTTCAAGGGGAAAAAAAAGTAGAACTGGTAATTAAAACGTAAAATTAATCGAATTCCAATTCAAAGCAGATATTTTTGCAGAGGAAGAAGAAGAAGAACAGGAAGAGATGTATCAGTTTATCGAGATTCAATTAGTTTTTTTATACAGAGATGAAAATGATACACCTAGAAATCGAAAGAAGAGGAAAAACTATTCTATTGTCGAAAGCAGATGAAAAAAAAGGGGATGAAATACTGGTACCCAGAAAGAAAAACTCGAATTGAAGCTCGAGAAACTTCAATTGGAACCGAGAAACAGGGAAAGAAGATACCCCAGAAAAATTCAAAAACAGTGGGTAAATCAGTGACAAATACGAGCGGTTTCTGATGAAGAAATGTATCTTTCGAAGAACCCAGGTTACTTTTTAAAGAAAGAAGTTAAGAAAAAATGAAGAAGAAATGGAAGAGGAGAAGAAAAAAATGCTGGGACTTGAAACAGAACGTAAAAGTATGGTCGGTCTTGGTCTTCTTTCCATAACTCGTATTTAGGCGACTTTGAATCCCGATTTCGGAAAGACGCTGTTTGAAACGCGGTTTCGGAAGGAAGAAAAAAAGAAGACAGCAAGCCAAGGAGGCTGTCTGTGTTTATTAGTTTGGTGGTGGATTTATTTATTTATTGTTTCTTCTTTTACCTGGTCTTCTTGCTGCGGATCTTCCTTACTCTTTCCTCCATCCCATTTTAATTTCACCTCTCTCTCTCTCTCCACAAACTCTTTCACCTTAGCTTTAACAGTTACGTCAATGGCACCTCCTCAGAGCTCAGGGATGCAATGGAGACTGGAGAATTTAAAGAGACGATTCCATTTTAATTCACCTCCTCCCTCTCTGTTTCTCTCTCTCTCTCTCTCTCTCTCTCTCTCTCTCTCTGAGAAAAATAAGGTTTTTTGGGTAAATACAAGAAATACAAGAAACTAAGGCTAATAACGTGTGAAAAAAACTTTCTTTGTCAGCGCTGTGTGGAACCAGATCGCCATTGGTCAAACGTTGACTTGTTTTGTTACAGAACAACTACAAAAACAACTGTGTTGGTAGGGTCTAGTTCTGGACCATTGGATTGGAATCCGGATTTTCTCTTCAAAGAGAGCTCCTTACAGAACATTGAAGCCGTGCATCGGGAATATCATGATAAAATACATGCACGGGAGATATTATGTGGCATAAACGTGAAGTTGGTGCGAGTCCGGTCTCGTTGAATGGATAGGTTTGAAAGATCAAGGGCCGTCTAGCCGTCTAGGGCCACATTAATTTGCCACGTGTTTCTTGATTACCGTTTTGGAGCATTGAAACGTACTATAAGCTGGTCCCACCAAAGGAATTTCTTCTGGCTTCAGAGTTCGCCATTTCAAAAAGTCAACTTATACATGTCAATGTGTCATCACATCACATTTTAGTGTTTCACAGATCATCACAGATTTTAATTTATTTTATTGTACTTCGTAGGCGTTGCCGACGGATCAGATATATACTAAAGTAACCACCAGGATCCGCACCCGAATGATATATTGCGAGTGGCGATGGCAGTGGACTGGTGGAGTGGATTATCGGGATACCCGCTTGCCCGCAAGGGATGATTTGGAGCCATAATGTGTCGGATCTGTCCCAGGACATAGTGGAACCGGTCCTTACTCCCATTATACACAAGACTCAAAACCAACTCTATCGTATGCAGGGTGTTTACGGTTCAGTTTGGAGGAGAAAAGTAAATTGTTGTCTTAGAAATTTTCAGACCAAATCAAACTATCAAACCATTTTGACAATAAAATCAAACAAAATCAAACCATTTTATTACCGTTTGGTGCAATTTATAATAAGGTTTGGACCATTTTATGATTTTATTGAGCTTAATTCAATTAAAAAGTTTAAATAATACCCCTACCCTCTCCAAATTTTCTTTTCTTTTTATTTTAATGTGTTTGTATTTTCATACCGACATCTTGAGAGGTTAGAAAGAAAGAGAGATTTAAAAGTTAACGGTTAAACTTAAAATTTTTATTTTATTATAAAATAAAAGAGTTTATTATATAGATATTATATATATAGTACTTTATAATATATTTTATTTTGATTTATGGTTTATGATTTTATAAACTAAATTATTACTGCCAAATATGAGGTCAAGGGCAACAAGGGGATTTCGCTAGTGTTCGTGGGCGACGGGTCTGACCTGTAAATAGGAGAAGAGTACATGTCAGAGGCATCAAGTGTTATCCTAGGGGCGGAGACTCTAACAATCAAGTTAGCTCAATGATTAGGAGGGGTCGGACCAGGCTAGAGACAAGGGCTCAGAGCTTAGTCCTTAATAACCAAGGATAATTCTCATGGGATTCTGAATGCAAGAGAGTAAATGTCTTTACCTTGAGATGAGCACACCCTTTTATAACTGACCTTGCCTTGGAGTGGATGGAGGCAGTTGGTGATGTGCGGCAAGGATTTGATGCTGATGCCACGTGGCACAATCCGAGGCCTATCAAGTATACCTACATCACTTGCCCCCCACTCTCAAGGCTGTAGTGGTCGAGGTCGGATGGCATGTTAAGAGGAGACCTCAACTTCGACCAAAGAGAGTACCATGTAGTTGTGTGGAGGCATCGAATGGTGTGTTGGGCGGAAACCTCAACTTCGGCCAAAGAGAGTACCATGTAGTTGCATGGAGGTGTCAGCGTGATTGCTTCCCTATTTTCTCCCGCCTTATTAGAGGATCATGATGGGCCGAGAATACGTGGTCGTGGTCGGGTCTGACCTGAGGTTGAGGGCAACAAGGGGAATTAGCTGGTGTCCAAGGCCGATGGGTCAGACTTGTAAAAAGGAGAAGAGTACATGTTAGAGGCATCAGGGGTTATCCTAGGGGTGGAGACACTAACGGTCAAGTTAGATGAATGCTTAAAAGGGGTCGGACCAGGCTAGAGACAAGGGCTTAGAGCTTAGCCCTTAATAGCCAAGGATGATTCTCTTGGGATTCTGAATGCAAGAGAGTAAGTGTCTTTACCTTGAGATGAACACCCCCCTTTTATAGCTAACCTTGGCTTGGAGTGATTGGAGGCAGTTGGTGATGTGTGGTTAGGATTTGATGTTGATGCTACATGGCACAATCTGAGGCCTATCAAGTATACCTACATCACTTGCCCTCCACTCTCGAGGCCATAGTGGTCAAGGTCGGATGGCATGCTGAGTGGAGACCTCGACTTCGGCTGAAGAGAGTACCATGTAGTTGCGTGGAGGCATCGAATGGTGTATTGGGTGGAGACCTCAGCTTCGGCCAAAGAGAGTACTATGTAGTTGCGTGGAGGTGTCAGCCGCAGTTATAGAGGACTCTTCTTGGTGACTGTGTGGCGATTGCTTCCCTATTTTCACCCGCCTTATTAAAGGATCGTGATGGGCTGAGAACACGTGGTCGTGGTCGGCATGGGTGTGGGATGTTTGTGTTCGTTGGCCGTGCTCCGTATGGGTGTCGACGTCATCCAGCGCGAGTCTATGTACTGGACGGGCGTCGGTGCTGATTGGTTGAAGCCATGTGCAAGATGGTGCGGAGGGGTGTCCGGTTTAGGTCTTCTTGACCAAGAGTTGATAGGCGAACCAGTTCGTTCCTTCAGTGTCATTTCATCTTCTCGAGGTCGATGCCACATGTAATGGGTCGGTTCAGGCTATCAAATTGGCTAGTCCATGACTGTTGGATTAAAGAGATCTGAGCCACACGTTTTCCTTTAAATAGGGACGCTAGTTGAGTAAGTCTTCACCGTTTGCTTAATCCTTGAGTCTTTGATAACTCTGCATTTTGATGCCTTAAAGGCAATAATTCAGGGGTATTTTCGGCCTTAGAATAATCAAGATGTGCCCTTTTCCCAGTTAAATGCAATGTTGTGGCCTCTAAGGGTCTCTGTGCAAATTCTAGGGAAAAGTAGGAAGTTTTCATGGCTGAAATGTAGATTTTGGGAAACTGGTGTGAAGTCCAACTGAGAGAGGGGGTGTTTTGTGAAAAACTAAAAGCAAGAGGGCGCCTCCTATCTGCTAAACCTAGTTTGGCGCCCCTCCTACTATATTAGCATATTCTCCTCTCCTTAGAAAACCCTAAGGCGCCTCTCCACCATCCAACTACTAAATCATCTGCTAAACCTAGTTTGTTCATCCTTAACAAACCATTGCCACCCCTAACTACTAAATCATCACCTTCCATCCCTTCTAATCTCCACCATCCAATCTAGGGCACTCTCTTTTAAGCATTCTAACCTTAGGGAGCCACCTAACTTCTAATCTTCACCATTCAACATTTAGCCATTAAATCTTAGCCTACATAATATTGGATGCCCTCTCCTTTTATTTTCAGCCTTAGGATCACCTTAGACAATCCTAACCCTCCATTCTAAACCCTAGGGTGCCCATATTTTTGCAAAAAAACCCAGCTGTCACCCCCCTCTTTCTCTCTAATCCTAGTTTTATCCACCATTCTCTATAAAAAGGACCCTAAGGGCCCTGAAGAAGGGGTTGGTCAATTCACCCTGTTACAAGGCTAAGGTTTCTTGAAGAGTTCAAGGGTTGTAGAAGGGGATGACACCCAGTTCTTGTTAGGAGGCTTCCTACAAGCTGTTCAACCAATCTGCAACTACCGCCACTTGATCTAATCAACCATTATTTTCTTTTCTGTTATTTTTATTTCTGTAATCTTTTAGATTTAATTTTGTTTGTTTCTCTGTTTTGCAGATTTGAATTTGTTCGGTTTGAGGCTAAGGTGTTTCGAGGGGTTCGAGGGTTGTAGAAAGGACGGACGCCCGATTCTTGTCAAGAGGGATTTCTACAAGTTGTCTGGCTGATCTGTAGCTACCGCCACCGGAACCGGATTCTGGATCATTTTTTATTTATTTCTTTTATTTCCTTTGTTGATTCCCATACTTTATTATATTCTGATATTTATTTATTGTCTTGTTTAAATTCGAAACATTTAATTTCAGCAATAATAGATTTTATTTTCGTATTTTCTGCCATTCCCGATTGCATTCTCTTGTCTGGACCTAAGTAAATATTAATTTTTCACTTGCTTCCCTGTGGATACCCTGTTCTCACCCATTTACTACGTTAGTAGTTGTTTAAGAAATAGTAAAAATTATAAATGTTTAAACTGGTGTTCCAGGGTGTTTAACAATACGCTTCCGGACACACCAAGTTTTTGGCGCCATTGTCGGGAAAGCAACGGAGAAAATTTTTTATTTACTTTTTCTAGATCTGTTTCACTATTTTTTCTTTTTTGTTTTATTACTTGATCCGTTATCTCAATTTAATTCTTGTTTCTCTTTGATTTTGCAGGACGTAATAGCAAAAGGTGAGGTACCGGAGCATTGTGGGACTACGGGACGGAAGAGAAGAGAAGAGAAATTGGATTGCATTGCAGGTGTAGTCRTTCCATTTTATTTTTAATTTTCTTATTTTTGTATTCAAACTCGTTTTTATAGAATAGTGATTTTTAAATTTTTAATTAAATTTCTTTAGAAAAAAACCGATTTATTTTTTTAGTATTATTTTTTTGTCGTTTTGTTTCTAGATTTATTTTTCTTCCTTTATTTTAAT